CAATTCATTCATAATTTCCAATTGATTTTGAACAAATACAACAATCCCTCACTTGTTCAAAATTTTATGGATCACATACTCAAAATAACAATATTTATGCATAAGGATTATATAACTTTTAATTTGAATCTAACCATGGTATAATTCTCACAAAGTATCATCAAAATTAAAGGCAGCATGAAAGTTTTAAACCGGTTATTACTTGTGATAATATCGGTGAAAACACATACACAAATGTCATGTGTTCACAAGTTCCTCAAACTCGCTTAGCGCTAATATGGGCGCTCATCCTATTCATTAAAATTTTAAAAGAAAAACTCCAACTCTCTATTAAGACGGCATCATCTCGAAGTTCATCTAGATGAAGTTCTTCCAGTATTTTTGTTACTTTTAAAGATACTTGTACTTAGTCCTGAACTTCATTAAGAGGTTTAAAGCTCAACCATCATTTAAGTAACAACCAGTATTAAATAATTAGGATAGGGTTCTTGTGGAGATTATAATGCTCGACCTATCCACTTATTTAACCTTTTGAACCCGTGGATTACTGTTTTAGTAATGACAGGTAGGGCTGCCGTCATTTGTGTATCTTTTTAGTTTAAGAATTTCAGCTATTCTATTCTAAGTATATATTACTAAATCTCTATTAAGATGTTTATTTGGAAGATTTGCTAGATTCTCAATTGACTTAACATAATATAGGGAAATTATTCCACTCTTGATTAATTTTCTTATGTAGTCATGTTATAAACTCATATGTTTAGACCACCCATTGAATACCTCATCGTATGCATTTGCTAATGTGGCTTGACTATCACACGTGATAGTAGATCCTTAATCCACTCAACTTCTTTTCTGGTATCTAATAATGTCACGAATTCAAATTCCATGGTTGAATGTTTTATGCATTTTTATAAACTACACTTTCTCTAAGAGTAAACACCCAACACGAAGTAGATTTATTTCACCAGTTTAGATATCCAACTAGTATCAGTAAGTCATTCCATTACAGTCGAAAATTTGGAATATTGTAGACTTAAATTTTCAGTTTTATTTAAGTAACCAAGAACACTCTCAATGACCTTCCAATGTTCCTTGCTCGGGTTACTAGTAAACTTATTAAGTATACTAATTGCAAATGCTATGTTCAATTTTGTGCATTGAGTTGTATACATAAGACTTCGTATAGCACTTGCATATTCCAATTGAGCAATAGCTCTTCCATTATTTTTTATAAGTTTAGAACTTGGATCAAGAATGGTACTATACTCTTTTATATTCAAAATATTTGAACTTATTTGTCACACTCTTGATATAAAGTGATTGACTCAAATAGTAACCCCCTCTAGTTTTAGTAACTTTGATATCGAACATAGTATCCACTTGTTCAAGATCCTTCATCTTGAATGTGAAAGATAGAAACCACTTCATTTCTTTTATTCTATTCATGTGATTACTTAAAACCAATATGACATCAACGTATAAACAAATAAATATTATACAATTATCACATAATTTGGGATACAAGCATTTATCCATACTATTATGTTTGAAGCCAAATGAAATAACTGTCAAGTCAATTTTCTTATGTCATTTCTTAAGTGCTTGCTTTAAATCATATAATAATTTTACTAACTTGCACACTATGTCTTCATTTTCGGGGTAAAATAAACCCTTTAGGTTGTTTTATATAAACCTCCTCATCGAGATCCTCATTCAAGAATACTATTTTGACATTCATTTGATGAACATGAAAGTCATATATGGATACTAATGCAAATAATATCCTAGCTAACGTGAATAATATCTTAATTGATGTTATTCTAGCCAGTGCATATATATTGAAATAATATATTTCTTCCTTTTGTCGATAGCTTTAAGCTGCTAATCTAGATTTAAAGGTATTAAGAGAACCATCTATATTATATTTTCTCCTGAACACTCATTTGCAACCAATAGGTTTAGACCCAAGTGGTAAATTGACAAGTTCCCACATATCGTTTGACATAATTGAATATATTTCTTCTTTAATTGCATCTTTCCAAAAGATATTATCACGAGAAGCGATAGCTTCTCTATAGGTTTTAGGATCGATTTCTTCTTGTAGAATAGAAAGTATTGTTCTTACAACATTCCTTCCATTTCCCTTTACTAAGTAAAGTGAAATAAGTTGATAATCAATTTCATCAGATCCTCAAGTCTTTTCTATCCTTATTCTTTTCCTTCTTTAAGGTTCACTAGATTCATTAACATCTTTAGAAAATGTTTTATCTTGTGTTCCACTAGAGCTAGGATCCTCTTTATGAGTTTCTCTGAATTCATTTTCCGAAGATAGAGTATTCTCAAAGAACTCCACATCATTTGAT